CCACGACCCAACATTTACCTATCTGATCAACCCCCCTGTAAGTAACTAATCTCCCATCCCCACTGCCACCCCCTCTCCCACATAGACACTCCTTGGCCCACCTGGGCTCTGCGGCCCCATGGAAGGCCACCTTCTGCCAAGGGGCCGCCTCGCCCTGCTTCGGTTCTGATCCTGCCGGCCAAGCGCCTCTTCTCACGGACTCGCTCTCACACCCCCTGGACCTGGCCCGAGTGTGGATGCCCCACACATCCTGTCGGGCTGTGACACTCCACACCACGCCCTCAGGCGTGGCTGCCCTCGACCTGCTCAGGCCGTGACACACCACACCGGGATGCGTCCCCACTCCCAGCATGGAGCGCATGTCGTCCTGCTCTGGCTCCGACACCCATGCTGGTCCATGCTTTGCATGGACACCGTCGTTGTACTTGGGCTGCCCATGCCGGGCCATCCCCTCTGCGGATGTGAGGATGCCTTCTCACTTGCTCTGGCCCTGTCACCCCATATGGACACTTACCTCAAACCTGCTCAGGCCGTGACACGCCACACCGGGATGCATCGTCACTCCCAGCATGGAGCGCATGTCGCCCTGCTCTGGCCCCGACACCCATGCTGGTCCATGCTTTGCACGGACACTCTTGTTGTACTTGGGCTGCCCATGCCGGGGCATCCCCTCTGCGGATGTGAGGACGCCCTTCTCACTTACTCTGGCCCTGTCACCCCATATGGACACTTACCTCATCCCACTTGGGCTCTGACTCCCAATGCCGCCTTCCTCACCCTGCCTGGTCACTGATGTTCCCACTCTTGGACGCCCTCCTCTCCTTACTCAGGCTGTGACACCCCACAGCTGGGAGCCCTCCCTCAACTGCAGACGCCTACCCAGCTCTGCCCCCAGTGGCTTCAGGAAGGGGAAGGTGAAATCCCAAATTAACATTGTTAAGAAAGTAAATGTTTTCAAAGAATATCTGTAGGAAATCTGTGGTCTTACCAAATTTCACGTTCTTACTGTAACTCAGTGACCTCTGATTTCGCACTGCAGGTTCTCAATCATGCTTTGCAATCGCTCACTCTAGCGAAGCCGTGAGCTGCTGGCCCAAGGGGAATCCGTACCCTTAGGCCTTTTGATGCAGAATGCCAGATTCCCCCCAGAGAGCATCATCTGGGTTAAACAGGTGAGGAGATGCATTAAATGCACAGTGTGTGTCAGAAGCCTGCTGGTTAGGAGGGACCAAATGCCTCCAAACACTGCAAAGAAAGCTGAGACAGCCTCCCAGGCCCGGGGGGGTTGGGCCGTGTGGCCTGGGTGGGAGCGAGCTCTGGGTCTCCCAGAAAGGGAAGCTCACTCACCTGCGCGCAAGCCTTCAGAGGCCCTGGGGGCTTCTCTTCCCAAAAAAAACCAGGCACAGGCAGGGGCCTGAGGTCCTGAGCTGCAAGGAGAGAAGCTCTGAGCACAGCATCCTTGTCGGGGCCCAGTGCGGCATGACCCCCTGGATTAGTATCTGCTTCCGGGATGCACACCCCACTTTAAGTGCGCTTCCGGAGGTTCCTGCCCAGATTCTAGCCCAAACAGCTGTGCATGCATCTAGAGTCCCCTGGTCCCTCTCCCAAGTCAACACTCTGCCTCGCCATCCTGGTTCCTCCATAATCTTGGGCCTCCAAATCTCATACCTGTAAGCCTACCTCACATCCAAACACAGCCTTTGCCCACCCCCCAAATCTGCAGTACAAACCAGTTTCTCCCTATCTGGAACCCCCACAAACGCCCAGCACATCGAAGACATCCTACCATGCACCCATTCATCCCCAACCTGAAACCAGCACCTCTTCCTCGGGCCAGCAGCTGGGCTCTGGGATCGATGGCTCCAAATCAGACTCCTTGACTAAATGCAGGGAGTGACGCAGTCCCACCCAGGATCCAACCATTCCATTCACCTGGCCTGACCCTCCAGCAATCTGTCATCAATTGCCTCCACCTCCCGCTCAAATAGCCAACCACATGCACAGAGCTCAGCTGCACACAGGCCTTGGTCCCTTCACCATTCTGGGATCGACCGGCCCATATCACAACAGTGTCAGCCGAGACTCCTACCCCAAACGTTCCTGGGCCCTGAATCTGCAGTGCTGACCTGGTCCTCAGGCCTGAATTGGCACTGGCGTGGCACTGGGTGCCTCCCAACAAACGCCAGCACAGGCCGGCCCCTGCCCTGCCCAGAATGTGCACCTCAGTTGTCTTTGTATCAACAAAGTGTTTCCGAGTCTGGACTAGAACAGCCCCTGGCAAATCTCACACTGCGCGCGCCACTCCTACCCTCTCTCTCCCTCTTACGCACCCCTCACCCCCAATGGGTTCTCCCTCAACTAGTATAGTGTGGGTCACAGTGCAGCTGTACCCTGAACCCACACGTTTCCTCCACCAACCTCCACAGCCCCTACTTGAGCCGCACCTGCCCACATTCCCGCCCAAACATCTTCCTAGGCACCTGCGGCGCAAGGAGATCCTGCCTTTCTACCACCCTGAGCGTCATCATGCTGTGACTGGGGCGCCATCTACACAAAGACTCCAGCATGCGGTGTCTGAATACCCACCTCGGCCTCTGGCTTCTTACCCAAACACCCATGCATGTGCATGGAGAGACCTGGTGCAGCCCACACCCACCTAGGCATCCATCCTCAGGCAGTACCAGGGTCCCAGGCCTACTCATGCCTCCCCATTCTGTCCAAATGCCAGCACATGTGCAGAGTGCAGATGGAGCAGCCCAGGCGCCTCCAAAACCAGAACCTGCAGCTCCAAACTAGGACCCCTAGGCCTCTACTCCAGCAGCCACTGCACAGGGGACATCCAGGTTACCTATTCTTGCCGGCATACACAGAGCAGGCTCATGCCGAGAACCTGCATCCAGGACCTGGGCCCTCCCCCAGCCTGTGAGTCTTGTGAAGTCCCTGCTCTTAAGACAAGAATCTGTATTTCCCATTCTGTGCCTCAATTTATCTGATACGAAAAGCACCCGCAAGCCTCTGTGAGGGTTCGCATGTGTCCACTGCCTGCTTGCCACCAAAACATCAGAACACCCAAACAGTAGCTTGGGCACAGAGCTCCGGAATCAGCCCCAGGAGTAGGGCATTCTTGCCTGGGGATTGTCAAGACCATGACAGACCAGCTCTCACAGGAACTGGAACCTTCCACTTCTTCCTGCACAAACGTGAGCACCTGGTGCCATGCTGCATGTAGCCCCAAATCTGCAGCCCAGACTCTGTCCCTCTAACAACCTGCACACGCTAATGCCTGCAAGTAAAGTGGTTCTGGAACACCTGCTTCACAATCATGCCGGCAGCATCCTGCTTCCTCCCCCAGCAACCGTCCATTCAATGGCAGCTGTTGCAGCTCTGTTCTCCCAGGGAGCTGATTCTGTACATCCAAGCCAGCATCTCCAGCAAACCTGATAGCCAGGGCTCTGCACAATACTACTTGGGTCGCAGGATTACCAGTCCGACGTCCTGCTTCTCATTCAGACACCCCCAGAGTACGCAGGGAGCGCTCTGTCCCTCCTTCAAGCTGGGAGTCTAGTCCATCACCCATCCCACTGAGGGTCGCTAAAGCAGCACTGCCTCTCCTGGGGCAAGAATCTGCAACTCCCACCAGGTCTCTCCACTACCCGGGGCGCCCCCAGGTCTGCCAGGAGAGCAGTGTCTGCTACAAAGTCCCAGAGCCAACGACGCAGAATCTCACTTCCCACCCGGTGCTTCCTACTCAAACACCTGCTGAGAGCATAAGGACAATGACACAGTCCCTCTCGTTCAGAATCTGCAACTTGTCGACCAAGTGGTCCTCTGGACCAACACTAAACAGGTCCAGCCTCGGATTGAGACGCGGGGTCCTCAGGGTCCCTCGCACACCCGTGCAAATGTCCCACTGTCTTCTACCAATCTGGGAATCTTCGGGACCTAGACAAAAGCACCTGACCAAGCACCCGCGCACGCGCGCAGAGCACAGTCCCAGACTTGGCGGCTGCATCCAAATCTCCAGCAACTTTGGTGGCCAAGGGCTGAAGAACCACTCGCGCAGACCCTGGATTGCCTACTCACACACCTAGCCCCAGCTTCCCTCCTAGAACCTGCGCATGCGCGCACGGCGCACCCAGCGACGCCCCGCCCCTCACCAACCTGGGCGCCCACGGCCTTGCCGCCCAGGCCGGGCCTGCCCCAGCCAGCGTCCGGCAGCGCTGTGGCAGGACGAGCTCCGTGAGGCAACCCCCTGCCCTGATTCTGCCCACGACAGACTCGGACTAAGCTAGTTCGGCTCCCTCCCCGACTCAGCATCCGCAAGGCCGCTCGGGTTAACCGCCGAAAGGCCGAGATGCACGGCGACAGCAAGCGTCCGCGCGGGGGACAATGGCCGCGCTTCTGGCCGAACCCGGAAGTGCGTTTGGGCTCGGCGAGACGGAACTACAAGTCCCAGAAGCCTCGGTGGCGCGTGTGACGATGAGGCGGAGTGTCAACACCCCCAGGGAGATGGACGTGGGGCGCCGGGATCTGGGTCCCACCTGGGGGCTGGACTGTGCGTGTCCGAGTTTTTGCGGGGCGCCGAGACGAAGAGTGGGACTGGGAGGCCGAGGACAAAGCCCCGGCGCGTGGGGAGGGGCCGACTTGGGAAAGGCTGGCCCTGGGCCCAGCTTGACTCCCGGGAGTAGCCGTGAAAACGGAATCCGGTGGAAACCGCGGGGACCCCTCCTGGGCGCCCGCTGCTTGTCAGACGCTTGGCGCGCACGATCTCCTTTGGTCCTCGAGACCAAAGATAGTTGTTACAAACCCGTTACGGTACAGGGCGCTCCCGTCAAGCCCTTCAAGAATCTGACGGTTTTGTACCCCGCCCTCCCCCGCTTTCTCTTTGCCTTCATCTCCTGACCGTTTTCCCGGCTCAGCTCCAGCCGCGCTGGCCTTTCCACCCGTTCCAATAACTCAAGCAGGCTCCTACCTCAGGACCTTTGTATGTGCTGTTCATGCTGCCTCTACCAGGCCCTTTCTCTGAGGGTTTCCCCACCCTCTGGTCTTTGAGTGGATGTCACTTTCTCATGAAGCATTCCTCCAACAACCATTGTAAACTTGCAAACAAATTTACTCCCCACGTAATTCCTGCCTCCCACCTCATCTGTACTTTTCCTCTAGAGAACTTTTCACTAACACACCTGGTTTACTGTCCATTTGCCTTCACCACTAGGATTTGAATCTATTTTGATTACTGCTGTATCCCCAGCATCTACGGTACCAGGCACATAATAGATGCTCAATAAATATTTGTTTTCAATAAATAAAGGTTCCTGGCTATCAAACACTTTAAAAATCCAACATTTCATTAATCTCAATCACTCTGAGGAAATTAGGGTGTTTACTTCCACCCCCCTGGGGAGGGAGCAGAAAATTGGAGCCATGCTGTATGAAAATATGGTATGTTAAAGCCTTTTAAAAATGCTGTCAAAGCACTCCTGTAGTTTTCCTCACATAAATTCTGACATTTAACAACAACAAAGTTACTGCTATTTGAAATATAATCTCTAATCCCAAATTTTCTTATAACTGGTTATTGTGGGGTTAGTTTTTTGTTTGGTTTGGTTTTGGTTTTGGTTTTTGTTGTTATTTTTTTTTTTTTTTTGATATCTGGTTAACCTACTGAAATTATGATTATAGTATTCCATTTGATTCTCTTGGCTTTTCTAGTGAAATGATCATCTGTCTATAGACAATAATTTCATCTCTTCTTACCAGTATTTTAAACAAGATATTCCCTTTCATGTTGGACTGCATTGGCTTTTCAAGGCAATATTAAAAGCCTAAGATCTCCAGCTGGCTCGCACGCTTCTCCCTGGCTGCTGTGTCCATCAACAGTGTTTGTCCAGCCTGGTGAAGCAGCTATGGCAACCCCAGCAGCTGGGTCTCAAACCTTGGCCCTCTCATTCTAGGTCACTTTCTCCCTGTTTCTGATGCTTTCAAAGAAGCATGAGTCAAAAGCCTAAGATCTGGTGGGATCTAAGATCCAGAGCCTGAACAACACATTGAAACAGAATATCGCAAGGTTTACAAAGAGAGTGGCCAGAACACAATATGCACCCATTAAATGTCATCGAATATATGATCGAGCATGATTTCTCTAGGACTTCTGGAGAAAAGATCTCTGCTTCCATCACACTGAAGGCTTGATTCTGCAGTAAACACTGCATGCTGGGTTCACAAGCACCTGTTACGCAAGGAGAAAAAGTGAGCTCCATTTTCTGGGTGGGCCCTCCTGGCCCACTTGCTGTGGTCCAGGGCTCAAGCACTCTGGCACTCTGGGAATTCCAAATATCTTCCTCCTTTCTCACTGCACTTCAGTCATGCTGGCACCTCTCTGCTCCTGGGATGGCTCACATTTTCCCACTGTGGAGGTGGCCCCAAAACCCCCACTTCCTGGCATTCATCCCTTATATTATCCCCCTCCCCTTGAGGGCAAGATCTGTGACTTGCCTCTAACCAACAGAATATGACAAAGGTAATAAGATGTACGTGATTGTATGTAAGTGATTCTCTCTTGGCTTTGAAGAAGCAAGATGCAACACTGTCTGCTGCCTACGGAGAGGGTCACATGCCAAAGGGCTGAGCATAGCCTCCAGCCGATGGCCAGAAAGAGACTGAGGCCCTCATGACAGCCTGTAGGAAACTGAATGCCGCCAGTAGCCATGTGAGCTTGGAAGCAGATCCTTCTCTAGTCGAGCCTCAGATGAGACCTGACCCTTAACCAACACCTCAGTTACAGCCTTGCAGAAGACCCTTCTAAGTGGTGCCGGGACTCCAGAGCCACAGAATCTGTTGCTTTTAATCTGTCAAGTTTGTGGTAATTCATTATCCAGCAACAGATCACTAATACACCTGCCATGGGGCCTTTTCACCTGATGCCCCTCAACTCGGGATGTTCCGCTTCAGCCCCTTGGCATAGTTTGCTCCTTCTCATCCCTCCAGAATATAGCAGACACCGAGCTGGCTGACCTGACACCCTTCTCCCTATCTTCTTCCTCTGCCTGCTTCTGTTGAAGAGACTAGAAAGGATACCACCTCATTTTCTCAGCCTTCCTTGCAACAAGGAATACCGCGTGACAGCATTCCGGTCGAGGACACATAAGAGGAAGTTTGATGGGTAAGACTGCTAGGAAGAGCTTGCTCTACTAACAAGGGGACACATTATGGCTCCCCTCCTCAGACTTTGATGAAAAGAGAGACCTAGGAGGCTAAGTTTGTACCAGTTCATAATTGACTGAAGAACTGAAACACATAAACACAATCCATACAATAGCTTGAGCAAATCTGATTCTTCTCTGAAAAATGTGAACCTAGAAACTCTTAACTAGTAGTAGAGGATGTTATATATAATCTGAAATTATATAGAGGAGTGAAAACCAGGCAACTTGCATAGGAATTCAATCTGGACTGAGAAAGATGGAACAAACTCATAGATCAGAAAAAACGAGTAATCACATAAGAGAGAAAATCTTCCTTCCCCATGAGGTCCATAAGTAATTTCTGAAATTGAGTTATCTGAGATTCCTCAGTGTTCTCTCAGTTAATTTTATCTGAACTACTTTCAGAGGGCTTGTCTTTCTTCTTAAAAATCCCTGACTAAAATATAGAGGACATTCATATCTTTTGAGAATGGTTCTCTGTCAACTGGGCTAAAGTCTGCCACCCTTTGATCTATCCTCCATGGTAACTGATCTTCTCTCTGGAATCACAGGAAACACATCTGTCCCTCCACCCCAAGCCAGCCCTTCAAACACTAAAATATTGGGGTTCTATATCCCTAAACTTTCTCTTTTCCAAACCCAACAAAACACTCTCGGTAGGACATGGATCTGAGCCCCTGTTCTGGCCTCCCTCTCCTGCCTCCTTAAAGTCTGATTGATGACTGACAACTTCAGAGTATAGAGTCTAAAGACCATCTCAGACATGGAGCGATCTGGCTAGTCTTGACGACAGGGATGTTATCACTCGAGATCTCTGAAGTAATTTCTCTTAGTCCTCAGAACTAGGAAGCCACCACCCAAGTTACCTGAACTTGCTATGGGAAGCCCTGCTATGTCCAGATGAGCTAACAGTTTTCTTTCTTTTAGGTGATGAAACTGACCGTGCTTCTCTTTTTTATTTGGCCACCAGGAAACTTGAAGCAAATGAGAAGTATAGGGACAGATGCTATATAGGTCCAGCATATTTTTACCTTTTATCTGTATCTGATTTCCTACTATTATTAAAAATATTTTCCTGATTGTGACTGCTATGTGGTACACAAGCTTGCTGTGAGCTGCCTCAACCTCCCATGGCAGAAATGTAGGGAAGTAAATATCATGAAAGAAATGAAGGATTGGAGGGAAAAGAAAATGAGTTCAAAAGAATAGACTGGTTAGCAAATGCAATTGACAGGGACAGAAAAGGCATGAGAGACATGGAATAGAATGGAATGGACATTAAAGGCAGGGAATGGAGTAGAATCGGTGGGGTGGTGTCCAAAGAAATGTAAATGAAAGGAATGGCAAGGAAAGGAAAACTGTAGTGGAAAGGAATGTGTCAAACAAAATGAAGTAGAGAGAACAGATGGGGACACTGAGGCTGAGAGCAGGCTTGCCCTTGATCACATGGTAATCTGGTGGCATATCTGGGGGTAGAAGCCTGAATTCCCAGCACCAGCTTCTTCCCCCACCCTCGCCACTTCCCTGGGTGTCAGCTACAAAGTCACTTACTGGAACTTGGCTCTGCAGCAAGCTTCCCCTCAGAGGTGGGTGCCGTGGCCTCATAGATGGGGTCCTCTGCTGCTTCCTTTGAGGGCCTGAAACCCCAAAGTCCTTGTACTTCTGTGCATCTAGTCCTTCCCGTATCCACAGGCTCCACCTAGATCCCATGTCAATTCCTGGGCAATACCACAATCCCTGTGAATTCCCTCTGTGCTGCGGACATGGCTCAGCACCATGGTCAGCAACTCTACTCCTGGGCGGGCCCCCTACAGGCCATACTCGCTACCCCACTCCTAGCTTTACCATCTGGCATTTCTGATCTGGAGGAAACAGCCCAGGCCTGTGGACAGGGCAATGAGAGTCAGGATCCTGACGGCAATGCCAGCGATGGCCCCTCCAGAGAGGGACAACTGGAGACCTGGGCAAAGATAGAGAATCAGGACCCAGGCCCGACACACCCTCATCCCTGTTCCTAGCTCCACTCCCAAGCTTGAGGCTTTATCTCCCTTCATTTGATGAGCACTGGTTTTCCAATGACTGGGAGGCGGCAGTTTGGGGTATTAATAGCATGATATCTGGAGTCAAACATCCCAGGTTCACATCTCAGCTCTGCGACCTTGAGCATGTGCTCCTTAACCTCTCTGTGCTTCCGTTGCCTCGCCTGTAAAATGGGGATAATAGCGTCTACTTCATACGCCTGTGTTAGTGTGATGATGATACTGCTTAGGAAGACAGGTCAAATATGGCTTTCAGGGGAAGGGGCTTTGACGGCCAGAAACCTGGCTTTCCCCTAAGTGAGTCACCTTGACTCTCTGGGGCCCTGTGACCACGGACAAGGCACATCCCTTTCGGAGAGTCATTTCCTCAACTGCAAAGTGAGGGACATGGTACCCACTGCACAGGGCTGCTGTGAAGATGAGATGAGATCACGAATGTTAATGCTGGGTACACTGCAGGCGATTGATGAATAAATGGCAGTCGTTATCAGCGCCGGCCTGCTGTTTGTCCATCCTCCTTCTGCCGGAACCCTTCTCAAAGGGGTGAAGTCCACCACAGGGACTGAGAAGGCAGCCACGAGGGTCAGGGGCAGGAGGAAGGGGCTCTGCTTTGGAAGGGCAGGAGGGGCCTTCCTGGACACCTAAGGGGTTCTTAGTTTCAATCTCTGAGCTGCCATTTCTTTATATGTCAAACAAGCACCGTGATTTATAACCCCGTAGGCTTTTAAATGAGATCACATGTAAAGGTACCAGCACAGTGCCTGACACACAGTAGGGGCTTGATAAAAGGTGATGATGATGATGATGGCGGTGGTGGTGGCAGAAGCTTCCTTCCTTCTACCAAGCTCAGCTCCAGAAGCCCTTCATACATGAGCTCATTCAAATCCTATAACATCCCCGTGAGCATCAACCAAACACTGCTTCCTCCTCTGAGCCTCTGTCTCTCCATCCATCACATGGTCTTAACAACACCAGTTGTTCTGAAGATTAAATGCGCTAATTTCGGAAGTCACATGGTATCCTCTGCTTAGCACAGCTCTTGGGGCAGCAAGCCTGGTTTCAAACTCTAGAGACAGGGCTTGGGTCTCTAGGTTTCAGTCTCTCTGTACGATGGAGATTCCAACAGGCCCACCTCATAGCCGGCAGGCAGGGAATACCCAAGAAATGTTTGCTGCTATTATGTACAGAAAGACTATATACAAATAATGATTTGTTGAATAAACACAATATGCCAGGCACTGCCACAGAACTTGACAAATGTTGATTAACCTTCAACAAACCTGTGATATACATATATATGTATGTATATATATATGCATAATTATGATGTCTGTTTTACAGGCAAGGAATCAGAGGCCCAGAGAGGTTAAGTAGCATGCCCAAGGTCACACAGCTAATAAGCGTTGGAGCCAGGATGTGAGCCCTTGCTAACAGTGACACTATGTTGCCCTCTGAAGAACTCAAGACAGAAATACAGGGACTCGCTGCCAGTCACACTCGGTTACCGTTAATATAATTAATTCCTGAGTCCCCTTCTGGCTCACTCCTTCTCTCACTGGCTATCTCCCTGACTCATGGCGCTTCTAAACAACTGTGAAAGGCAGGCATCATGAACCCCTTTTACAGGTAGCAAAACTGAGGCTCAGAGCAGCCTGGAGTTTTCCAGGGCACGTAGCTAGGAAGTAGAGGTTCTAGGGCCTGAGCGTCAGCTCTGGATGGGCAACGTGCCCAGGGAGTACACTCGTTTCCACACCCCAGCCCATGGCGAGAGAAGACTAGACCACCAGGGCCAGCATTGGGATGAGCCACCCGGACCCCGGGGGAAGGTGCTCTTGAAGAACTCACCTACGACTCTGGCCAGGACCAAGGCGGAGCGGGCCGGGTGGCTCAGAGGGTTGAAGGCGGCGCAGTTGTAGATGCCCTGGTGTCACCAGGACAGGGCCTGGGCGATCAGCTTCTCCCCCACATACACACTGGCGGCATGTTCAAGGGTCCACTGACAGTCAGCGCCTGGCTGGGACTCGGCCCGACACTGCAGGGTCAAGCTGGAATTCAGCTCTGCCTTGACGTTGCTGCCCACCCCAGATTCCGACCCCCTGATGATGTCCACGCGGTCAGGGTCAGCTGTGTGCAAATCCGAACATTATGCTCCCGTCCCCTACTGGCGAGTTGTCCTATTCTACCCTGTTCGTTTCCACACTGGAAGTTTTGCCTTTTTTTCCTTCAGATTATAATTTCCAATTCTACCCTGGGGGAAAAAAAAGGCTCTTCTAACTGTTGTTGAAAAGAATCTCAGCAAAATTAGCTGCCCGGCTGCTGTGCTCAGAAATCCATTCCCAGCCCTGCCATGAGCAGACAGCAGCCTGTAACATGCAGCAGGGAAAAGATCAAAATCGAAAACAAAAACCCTGCTCTTGCAAAAGCGAATTCTAACAAAGAAGCCTCATCAGACATCTAGGCTTCAGAAACTGTTATATGTCCTGTGAACATAGCCCCTAACTTCCAGAAAGTTCATAATTCTGATGAATTTCTAATTTAACAACGCATGGCTCTGCAATAACATTTAATTTTATATCTGTGTATTCACAACAGTAGAGATACTTGTGGATTTTCTTTGTAAAGAAAGAGGACTTGGCTCTCTTCCCACACACAAGAAGAAAACAAACAAAAAGGCTGTTGGGTTTCTCATCCAAACTCAGAGTCTGAGTCCTGTCTTATTTAATTTAACCTGAAATACCAGGGGGGAAAAAAAGATGCAAAAGTTTCTAGTTGGAACAAGAGAAAGAGGAAAATTCTGCCCTTGCTTCCTTTTAAATATCCCTTGAATCTGCTCATTTCTCCCCATCCTAACCCCATGGCCACCGGGATCCCTCATCTGCCCTGCCCTTGGCCTTCGCATCCCAATCCCAAATCCTCCACACGGCAGCCAGAGGGATCTTCCCAAGCACAAACTTGACACTACCCTTCCCTTGCTCAGAACCTTCCGTGGCTCCCAAGTGGCCTTGAGACAGAGCCTATAGCTGACAAGGTCATTCCCAATCTGGCTCTTGTAGACCCCTGCGGGCCCACCACTCACTTCTTCACATCGACCACGATGAATCCAGGAACAAGATCCTACTTCGATAGTCCATCCTTGTCATGGTCCCTCTTGCCTCTAAGCCACCCTATTTTCTCTTCCTTCTCTGGGGTGCTCTTCCCTGAGTCTGCTCTACCTAGCTAACATACTGTTCTTTTTAGATCACATGGTGGACACCACCTCTCACGATAAGCTTTCCCACATCCCCCTACCTGGGGTGGGGGGCTTCCTTGGGGTTCCCCAAATCCTCTTGTCCTATGGCCACACTGATCACACTGTATTTTCTTTGCCTGATTATTGATCTTCCAATCCCGAGTAGGCTGTGAGCTGTGAAAGTCAAGGCTACTACTATCAAGTGCCCAACATGAAGTTTGGCATAGACAGAGAACAAAAGAGATATTTTTGGTTTAATGACTGAAATAAGAAGGAAGGAGGAAAGAACAATAGAGGAGGAGAAAAATTTTAAAAAGCAATGTATTTAACCCCTGCCTCTATATCTCCCTGCTATTAACATGTATAAAATAGACCCCTGCTTTATCTCCCTGCAAAACCTCTTCTCCAACCAGCTCATGGCTTCTGCATCCTTTGAGTAGCTCAGGCAGAAAACCTTGGACTTGTTCTTGACGCCTCTCTCCCTCTTTCACCTCATGTCAAGCCGCAGCAAATGCTGTGAATTTGATGTTCAAAATAAATCCACAGTCCGATCACTTCTCATCACTTTGGCCCAGCCCCATCATCTCTGGATGGACGATTGTGGTCAGTCACCACCAGAGGGCGCCCTGCTGACCATCTAGGGCAGGAGTTTAACAGACCGAGGGCACAGCTGCTGTGCTCAGAAATCCATTCCCAGCCCCGCCATGAGTTGCACCCAACCAATATCTGTGTGTGTTGGGGAAACTAAGAAAGAGACCCCTTCCGGGGAGACATGGGACTCTTGACAGCCTCGACAAAGGTCATTAGACTACGTGGCGGCCTACACGCTTCCACCCGACCCTCTCTCTCTCCTTTTCTCCCTCACTTGGGGTCAGACTTGCATCCCAGTCGGATGGTTTTTTTTCACTCCCCTAATAAAATCCTTGCATGTATAATCCCATTTAATCCCGGTCCGAGGGTTGGCCTCTCAAAGGACCCAGATAAACGTATTCTTTCTGTAGCCTCCTTCCTCTCCCTAGCTTCCACCCCAGAGACAGGGGCCAGAGGGACCCTGTGAAACTTAAGTCTAATCCTCTCCCTCCTCCACTCAGAGCCATGGCTCCCGGCGCCCTCGCCATGGCCCACAGGGCACCATGTGATCTGCCCCCACCCTTCACCTCCCGACCTCTTCTCTTCCACTCGACCCCAAATTCATCTGTCCGGTCACCTTGGCCTCTTTGGGTCCTCTGACATGTGAAGCGCAGTCCCACCTCACGTACTCTTCCCTCTCCCTGGAACTTTCTTCCCTTCGCCGCCTGCACTGCTCCCTCCCTGCCCCATTCTGTCCCTGTACAAACGCCACCTCCTCAGGGAGGCCTTCCCTGATTACCCTGTGAAGAGTGCAACACCTTCCCCCGTCCCCAGCCCTCCCAGTCCCCCTCCCTGCCTCATGGTTCTTCTAGCCTTGGCCACGTCTGACACACCGCAGATCTCCCTTGCTGAGCTGTTTAGGGTCTGTCTCCCCAGCTGGAACGGACGCTCCATGAGGGAGGGGCTTTGTCCTGTCCAGCGCCCAGACATGCCTGGTACAGAGCAAGTATTCGATAACTGTGGGATAAATGGCTAGAAGGAAGAACTTAGAGTGAGGAAGAGAAGAAGGGAGGAGGAGGAGGTCCAGGCTGGGGTGACTCAGACCTCACACTCGCAGGGCCCCATGTCATCCCGCCAGAGGCCATGGATGACCAGGGTCCTGCTGTCGGCCCACAGCTCCATGAGTCGGCTAGGAAAGAGGGGCTGGCACTTCAGTAACCACTGGACTTGAGCCCCCTTGTGGGGGTTCTGACAACTCAGAGCCACAGAACTGGCGTTCTCCAGGAGATTCAGGCGTGGTGACTCAAGGAGAGGCTTGGTCGGCCTTTCTAGAAACACAGAGAGATAGAGCACAGGGTTCAGGGCCCCTTCCCTAGGCTCCTGCCCAGGCAGGGTGCACAGGGCTTTCTAAGGATGTGCATATATGTGTCGTGGGCATGTGCCTCACCTGTGGCTGTGTGATGTGGGTGGTATACGTAAGGCTTTTGTGCATGAGTGTGTGTTGTATGACAATTATGTGAATGTTTTGGGTTTCGTGACTGTGAGGTATGGGTGTTGTACATGTGCACTTTGTATATGTGTGAGTGTGTACTGTCTATCTATTTTTTCTGTATGTGAGTATATGTCGTGTGTCTGTGGTATTGTATGTGTTATGCATATATGTTCTGTGGTGTAAGTATATGCTTTGTGTATGACTGTGCTGTGTGTGTGGTATGTGTATACATTGAGTGTGCGTATTGTGTCACTTGTGTGCATGTTAAGGGTTTAGAATGTATGATATGTGGTGTTTTCTGTTATATGTACAAATGTTGAGTGTCTGTGATGTGTGTTGTGTGTCTGTCATGTGTTATATATTGTGTATTACGTGAGTGTGTGGTGTGTTTGTGGTTTTGTTTGGTGCAGATGTGTTGTATGTGAGATGTGTGTGTCTGTTTTATCTGTGAGTACGTCCTATGTGTTGTACGTGTTGTGCATATGCGTGTGTACATTGTACGTATGTGTTATGTGTGTCTGTCATGTGTTATATATTGTGTGTATTACATGAGTGTGTGGTGTGTTTGTAGTTTTGTTTGGTGCAGATGGGTTGTATGTGAGATGTGTGTGTCTGTTTTATGTGTGAGTACGTCCTATGTGTTGTACGTGTACGTATGTGTTATGGGTTACATATACGTATATACATATGTGCATATGCGTGTGTACATTGTACGTATGTGTTATGGGTTTGCATGGTGTGTATCTGAGATGTGTTACATACTATCTATTGTGTGTGTTGTACATGTCTGTGGTGTGCATATCCTATGTGTTTGTGTGAGTGTGCATGTCGTGTCTGTGGTATTGTATGTGTTGTGTGCTGTGCACACAATTATAATTCATGTGTGTATGACTCTATATGTATGTGTGATGTGTGAGTGTTGTGTTAGTGTTTGTATGTGTAGAGAATCAACCCCCCGACTTCCAGGTAATCAAATGGACAGCCATAGAGAGCCAACAAGGTCATGAGGAAGATGTGCCAAGCCAGGAGCCAGGTCCCTTGTGGCCGGAGCCCTGCTCTGCCGCCAGCCACATGGGACGTCCCCACCTCCCCGGGTCCTCTTCAAACACTGAGACACCGGTGCAGCTCTGATTCTCAGAAGAACAAAGGAGAGGGACAGAAAACAAGACACACCAAAGACTCGGACTTCAAGAGCTCCCAAGCAGGATGGGTGGGTAGCACTGTTGGACACCAAACACCTGTACATGGACATGGCATGGATGGTGAATGTCCTTGTGGTGAGAGAGGAGATGTCACAGGGGAGAGACCAGGAAAAGGCAGGGGAGGGGTAAGATTGCATTTCCACCGAGGTCACGCTAGAGCCCTCTGTCACCCCAACCACCTCTCCACTGGGGACACCAGGATCCAGACTGATTTCAATGGGGTCAGGACCATCTGAGAGGACAACGATGGTACCCATAAGAGTAGCATCAGCACCAGCTCTTGGAGGAGACTTTGGGGGCCAATAAACATGAATTTTTCTCATCCGCCATCCAAGCTCTGGATCAATTACAAAGGAGCCGTAGGAGTCTACCAGAGCTTCAATGCCAGCCTTACCTTTGGATAAAGCGGGATCATAAGACACAACTAAAGCATGCCAGCAAACACTCTTCCCTTACCCCGACCCAGGCAAGATTTTGGATCGAACATCCAAAGATAAAGGAGCTCAGTCTTAGATGTGTTAAGCTGGATGTTTCCAGTATAACCCAAGCAGAGATATCAAAGAGTGATCCACCTGGAGTTCAAGGGCAGACGAGTCTCTGTTCGGATGGTATTTAAAACTGGGAGACTGAATGAGATCGCCAGGAAAGTAGGTGTTGGCAAGGGCTGCGGAGAATGGGAAGGGACTCACAGTTCACAGTCAGGAAGGTGGGGTCACTACTCTGGGCCTCGTGGACACCCCAAGCTTCACATTGGTAAGTCCCAGAGTCCTCTCACTGGACAGGGAGGATGGTGAGGTTCCTGCCATCTGGGGACAGCCGAACACACTTGCGAAACGTCAGGGGGAGATTGTTGGAGCCCCAGTGAATGGTAATGTTGACATCCTTGGTGTCGCAGTAGGTTACCACTTCCCTCTGCTCTATGGCAGTGCCCTGCCTGATTGTAATGGTGGGTCTGGCCAGCGATTCTGCACAGGGAGAAAGAGACAGACAGAGGCAGAAACACAGACAGAGGAAGACCAAGCAAGACATAGTCACAGAGGGACCCAGCGAGACAGGGATGGATTGGAATTGCCAGAAGATGCTTGAGCTCAGTGCCCGGGCTCAGATGCTAGACCTACTGCTCATTCTAGGTGGGATCTAGGGCGACTTACTTCCCCTCTCTGAGCCTCATTACAAATGGAATTGTACAAATAAAGTGGAGGGTCTGGGACATGACAATGGGTCAATTAATACCAGCTGCAAAGAGAATCAAGATTGTAACAGGGATGTCACCAGGTCCTGCTACCCACTCTTAGCCAAACCCCCACCCCCAACACAACTAATCTGACCAGCTGGTTGCCAGCCCCTGGCTGGGCCTATCAGGTCCATCTTGCGGGGACTTAAAGCGTGGAACCTTGATGGGGGCTTAAGAATGACAGCTTTGTTGTCTGTGCCGACATCTGAGTCAGCCATGAGTCTGGGGTGTCCCAGGGGTCCCAAGCACAGCCAGAGCAATGTCCTTCTCACTTTAGATGGTGTTACGCAGGTGGGTATCAAGGATGAGCTGGGCTGCGGCTGGCAGACTCCATGCAGTCAAAAGTGAGGCTGGTGGGGCGAGGGGGAGAGGAGATGTTCAGGGAGGGAGAGGTATGTTGTGGGGCATCCAGTTACCATCTTCCGAAGTGGAGAGGGGTCTGAGGTCATGGACACGGCACTCCATCCCTTGGAGGCTCGACTCCTACTCACTACCTACTGGCTGCGTGACTCATGGCATGTTTTATCATCTCAATTTTCCCAGCTGTAAAATGGGCATAGTGCCACCAGCATCCTAGGGCTGTTGTGGGGTGCTGAGGAACACTGGCTAGCTTTAAGTGTGCTCTCTCCAACGAGGTTCACTCTAGGGGAGACGAAGATCGGCTTCCCTCTTCCACACAGAAAAAAATATGCTCGGAGAAGTGACGTCACTTTCTAAGACCACGTGTTAAGTGGCAGAAGCCAAACCTGAACTTGACCTGACAGCCCGTAAAGACTACTCTCAACACTGCATAATTCCTCCCATGGGCCCAGGGAGGGGCAGAGGCTACCCCTGACAAAGGGGACTTGTTCTGTTACATCTGGTGGGAGACATTCACCTTGTACTTCCTCAGATTTGCCCTCAGGCAGAGACTTCTCTCTGGCAGGGAACTCCCTCAAGCAGAGACAGCAGGAGTTTCTAGGTTTCCACTTGGCCTTTCTGCTCATGGTTTTATGTAGGCTTGAAGAAAATGTGGGTACAGGTGGCGACCCCCAACCCCAGCGGCCATGCTCCTACGCAGCTGACATTGACACCCCCCTCACCTTCCCATCAACCCAAGTACCAGAGGCTGGCAACCATGCCACTCTCCACCCCTCGGGAGACCCCAGTTTGGCCCAAGCACCGCCCACTCCCTGCGTGGGCTGTGGTTAAGGGCATGGGCTCTTCGGATATTCGGGAGCAAATATGGACTCTGACACATACGGGCTCTGTTATCTCGGGCAAGGGGCTCTCTCTTTGTGAGCCTCAGTTTCTTTGACTGCATAATGGGGGAAATGACAGAACTGAGTTCATCGGGTTGTGAAGTCTGATGAGATATCAGATGTGACACACTTAAAATGATTAAAGTGTTCAATCATTATTATTATTACTATTATTATCATTATTATTATTTCCTATGTCTGTATTTTTTGCCTCCAATGCTATTAAAAGCGAAGTCCACAGGCTCAGACCCTGACTGCCTGGGTTTGAATCCCAGCTTTGCCATTTTGCGGGGCAAGTGATGTCCTCTGAGTCTCAGTGTCCTCATTTGTAAAATGGGGTAATAATAGTCCCTGCCTCATATAACTGTCGTTAAGTGAAAAATACGAGTGAAAGCATCAGCGGTGGGCTCATTATACTCGTCTCCATTTCCCTACTGGTTGCCTGTTGGCCGTGGGCTGCCCTGAGCTCCTGAGGCCTCTCCCCGTCCTACGCGTGAGCCCTGCATCTCAGAGCTGGCGACGCATGACAATTTCTCTCATGCTTGGAATTTCTCTGGCTTCCCCTTCTGCCACATCTCTCCACTGAATCTAGCTGGAGAAAATTCTCTGCTTCTGTGTCATTTGACTGGGCCCAACTGGATAACCCCAGCCACTCTCCCTATCTCAAAGTCTAACCTTAATTACATCTGCAAAGTCCCTTTTGCTATGTAATGTAACATATTCACAGGTTCAAAACATTATCACAGATTGAGGCATAGCCATGCATCTATTCTGCTTACCACAGTGACATGATGTGAGGGCAAGTTATCTAGAATTGAGGCAGCCAACTTGAGACCCTGAGGTAGGAAGCTGGAGAGGATATTCAATAGACTGAGGATGCAGGACAGATGGAAGGATTTCGCTGATCCATAAAATAAGCCTGGGACACCTTGTAAAGCAACGATTATGGTTTTTGTCACTGTGAGCCAGGTCACCTTTTTTTTGCAGATGAATGCATCCTACTTAGTCTCCTGTCCAGTCGTCCTTGGAAATGTTTATTGGAATTGCTTATCTTGTGATCAAAAAACCCTGATCATTTAGAAGCCTAGAGTTTATGAGTTTTGTATCCTTTGTCTTAGAGAGTAGTAAAACTTTGAGAAGGAGCCTATTTAAAATTACCATTCTGGTTTTTTTTTTTAAAGATTCCTGTCTAGCTGTCTTCTATTCTATATGGGGAAACTGAGGCCCAGAGGGGGAAATGAAGTTTTTCTCCAGGGTCAGAAAGCTGAGCCTTCTTGGAGCACCTGAGAAACTCAATTCCATACCACTGACTTTTGCACCTACTATGTAGAAAGAAGCAGAACGAACGAGAAGAGGAAGGATGTAGTATAAAAGGACTCACGTGATACAATCCCAACAGCTCAAAGACACGTCTGGAAGGATCTACAAACGGGAACCCCTACACACACACATCTCCCAGCACCCTTGAAGCCGCTGCACCATACTTGTTGCCATGACTCCCAGGTTAATACAGAAGATGAAGAAAAGATCAGCCCATAGACACACAGACATTTTATGGAGCCCAATGGCATCACAGGAATGGACACGTCATCTCTCAGTCGTGGTTCAAAGAACTAAACTTCCCCAGATATTCTCCCCTCGCCACTATAACAGCTCCACCAACACTCTCCCAACTCTGTCCCCTCCATCAGTCACCATAACCACCCTCACTCCACCACACTCAGTCCGAGCCCTGACTTCCAGAAGCTGGGGCACCACCAGTCAGACAGCAACATGCATCAGATCTTCCATACAGCCCATATGCCTACAGGATGCTTCAAGTTCACCTGAAGGTTATGCACCAACTGGGTTTCGTGAGTTACCTAGCCCTTGTCCAGCGGCGAGGAAGAAAAGAATTTCCAATGATCCATAATCAAGCCAGCCATGAAAATGCCATTTTAAGGGAGATGGCAGGGCAAGGGAGAAGGAGAGTCTGTGGTGGGGGAGTGAGGGGCTCCCAAGACATGAAGGATGTTAGAGACAAACCGATGACATGAGGACGCTGGCTAAAGTTGCCGAGGACTCGTAGACACTCCTACATGTCCTCTGGGAAAGGCGAGGGAAGGCTGGCCTTCCTATCTGAACTGTGAATTTCTGAATGTAATTCCACTCTGAGACTAAGCTTTATGAGCCACGGCTTCTAAAGGGTTACATGTAGTATGTAAAAAACACAATGATGCATCATGGAAGAGGGGGTCCTCCGTCATAACACTTCTTAACTGGTGGGACACAGGCTGTGGAGGCGGTCTGTTAACCCACGAAGTCAGTCTTTCTCACCACGCAAACCTCTGGCTGAAGCTTATTTTTCAAAGCAAAGAGATGGGGAGTGATTAGAATCCTCTGCCTTACTAGTAACCTCAAACCTGTTTAAATACCTGGCCTCCGCAACGAGCCTCAGTTTCCCCCTTTTTGGCTTTGGAAGGAGTTGGCATCTCGGGGCAGGGTGTCGAAGGCTGGTCACAACGTGGCTAACATCTCCACGTCTCTGAAAAAAAGCACGAAACCTTGGTCAGCCTTCTCCAAAGGAGGAGCTTTCTGTCCTGGCCTCCACGGCCCAGAAATGCCTCAGCCTCCCCAGCCATGGGACACACACCTGGTTGCTAACTCAGGGTCAGCTGCCCTCACTCTCCTTTCAATTCCTTTTTTCTCTCTAAAACTGGAAACATCTGGGCATCATCCTGGATGCCCTCCTTTCCCTAACTCACCTCTAACATCCACTCACCAAATCCTGTGGGTTTCATCTTTTCACAGTGTTATCTGTCCCCTCCTGTCCACCCCCGTTGCCTTGCCTTAGGTGGCACCGCCACCTTCTCTCACCTGTGAAACTGCCCCAGCCTCCACTCCCAGGCCCCGTCTCTATACTCAACTTTCCCATTATGGCCACCAGTGCCGGCCACTGTCCCAAACCCCAGCTCTGGGTCAGGATCTCTCCCTTCTGAAGACAGGGGCTCCAAGACTCCCAGCTGACCCTACAGGAAGTCTAGGATGCCCCATCTTTCCCCTGATAAACCCACGGGGTGAGCGTGACTCCTAATTCTGGCATGCGACACTTCATTGATGGCCTGGGCCTCCCTCACTAGCCTCTGGCCTCAGCAAACCCTTTGTGGACACAGAGGGAGGGCCCTCGGAGCCATTTACCTAGATGCCTTTTGGAGACTGTTTTTCCTCTAAAAGAATATTGCATCCTTGCCTTCATGAGCTGAACTCCATGGGATTCCTGGGCCAGAGAGGAAAGGAGGCTTAAGTCCCAAGAGGAGGGTGGAAAAAGTGTCCATCGCTGTGGGTAAGCAAAATGCACCCCACCTTTAAAAATGAGGAAAAGCGGGCAAAAGGATGAGATTTCTGCGTTAAGGATGAGTCTGAGGTCACTAAGAGCCTGGAAGGCAGAGCAAAGCTCATGATGTCATGGCGGGTAACACTAGGGTCCGCACCAGCACACGGGGCTCATTTGGTGTCCGTTCATGTGTGTACAGATGTGATGCACCAGCGTGGCATCTTAGTCCTGGCCCCCACCACCCTACTCCCGTCTTCATACATTTGAGGGAGCCCCACAGCACAGTGGGTAAGGGCCCAGGCTCTGAGGTCGGACAGAAATGGGTGCAAAGCTCGGCTCTCCCATTTGCTAGTTGTGTGACCTCGGACAAGAGACTGAATCTCTTTAAGTCTCGGTTTCTTCATCTGCATAATGGACGCAACCATAGCACCACCCTCTGAATGAAACGATGAGAGTCTGGACCTAATAGCTCAGCTGAGGGTGAAATTAATGTTTAAATTAATTTAAAGACAGTTAATTGATTGTTAATTAAATTAATTAATTTCTTTCCATTTGTATTTTCCCTTACACAGGAACAGGTATCAACTCTAACTCCTCCTAATCACCCACTTAGGGAGATCCTATTATTGGCCTCGTTTTACAGATAAGGAAACCAAGACCAGGAAGTTAAAGAACTCGCCCAAGGTGACAAAAGCCGGAAGTGGTGGAGCAGGAACTTGAACCCAGGTCTCTGTGCGTGAGGCAGCATGGCATGTGGGGTCAAGGGCAGATCCTGTGTGACCCCGGCCAAGTCTCTTTGATTCTCTGAGCCTCAGTTTCCCCTCCTCTCAACTGGAAAGAATAATACACACAGGTTCTTCCTGAAGTAGTTGGAAGAATTTCATGAGTAAACCAGTTCTTTGTAATTTAGCTAGTAATGTTTATGATTAACAATGATGCAATTATAACATTATAATAGCTATAATTTAGTGGGGCCCTCTAATGTTAGTTATAATTAATCATGTTTATTTTAACAATATTATTAACAGTAGATCGACGTGGCAACCATGTGCCATATGCAGACACTGGCTGAACCCCGATGACACCAGTGAATTGTCACGACTACAGGTAACAGTAGCATTAACAAAGGTAACACTTAGAACAAATACTTAAAATCCCTTATATACAAAGACCTCCTGAAAAGCAATAGAAAAGAATGCAATTTTTAAGGGGGTGAAATATGAGAACAGGCAGTTCAGCTGTGACTGGAGGTGGGTGGGCAGCCCCCCTGCTCCTCACTGCTGCTCCCAGGCCATGTAAGATCTCACAGAAGGTTCTCTGACCTGTCGTTGCAGCTCTCTTCCTCATCCTCACCTGGCTGAGCCCTATGAAGCAGTGTATGGAACCTTTTATTTCTGCTATTAGGTTTTTCGTAACAAAGCCTTTGCTTGGGTGACTTTTATGGTGTGTTACTCCCGCTTCAAGCTTCCAATAATCCTCTTTCATCTGCTTGAGGACATCGAGCCTATTTTCACTTCCGGTTCCGTCTGCTCCATATATTCCAGTGTCTGCAATAGGTGATTCCTCCTCTTTATGATATGCCATTAGCTCTCTTACATCTTGATTCTGTAGTGTTAGTTCTCCTAAAATATGTGTGGAATTGTGATTGGTCGGTCTGAACCGACACCAGAATCAGCACCCAGCCAGAGCCGGCAAGGAGAGAAGGAATAAAGGAAGTGAGAGATGCCAACAGCCTGGCTTCTGGAAATGGGGGGCTCTGAACACATCATTTCAGAGAGCAAACTGGAAATGCTTCAAAGTACAGACTCTGGGTTTGAATCGTGGCTCAGCCACTTTCTCGCTGAGTGATCATGGGCAGATCACTACACCTCTCTGAGCCTCTGTTTCTTCATCTGATAAAGGGACATTATGACACGTGCCTATCATGAGGTCGTTAGGATATTAAAATGGCTGCGAATTCTTTGTCACTCCTTCCATGGAATGGTGGGGTCTATGATGCCGTCCCTGGAATCTGGGCCAGCTTGGACTAAATTTGACCAACAGAATTAAGACAGAAGTAATGCTACCCGACTTCCCTGGTGAGATCACAAAGAGCCATGCGACTTCCATCTGGTTCTTTTGGTGTGTTAGTTTCCTATGGCTGCTGTGACAAATTACAACAAACTTTGTGGCTTAAGAGAACACAAATGTATTACCTCACAGAAGTCAGAAGTGGCTTGGAATTCCTTCTGGGTTCTAGGGGAGAACCTAGGGGTTCTAGGGGAAAACCTAGAACCTCTCCAGCTTCCAGAGGCCATCTGTGTTTCTTAGATTAGCTTGTGGCTCCTTCTTTGCATCATTCCAGCCTCTGCTTCCATCATCATGTCTCCTCTGACTCTAATCCTCCTGCTTTCCTCTTATAAAGACTCTTGTGACTACGTTGGGTCCATCCACATCATCCCAGATGATCTCATCTCAAGATCCTTAATTTAATCACACCTGCAAAGTCCCTTTTGCCATGTGAGGTAATGTGGATGAAAACAGGGTGATCTGATCATAAATCCCTAAGAGGGCAGGTCATGGTGGGTAGTCACGCCCAGGCAAACAGCTTCTTTACTAAAAGGTTTATCTTCGAAACACCCCTCCTTCTAGCACCTGACCCCCACCTTGCTTATGTTCCCTCCTTCATTTCAAATGCATAAAACTGCAAACTGGTATTCTCCAGAGCCTTTGAAGTCTTGCTCCCTGGCCTATGTTGTTAGTTTGGCTCAAATAAACTCTTATAAAGATTCTCCGCAGGTCTGGATGTTCGCATGTCGCCAGTCACATATTCACGGGTTCAGGAGATTAGAACGTGGACACCTTTAGGGGCCGTCATTCATCCTACCACATTTAGAGAGGAGATATTTCTTCTCTGTGCCTCAGTCTCCTCATCCATAAAATGGGGTAACAGTAGTACCCACCTCTGAGGTTGTAGTGATTAAATGAGACCATATGTGCTCGGAACCTGTCCAGGCCTTAAGAAGAGCTGAAAAGTATTAGATCTTGTTTTAGTTTAGAATCTCCCAGAAAATGACTCGGAGACTCCCCAGTTAATTTAGAAAGCGCAAGGAACATGGTAGGGAAGGTAGATAATAAAGGGTGGCCGCCATGCCAGCTGCCACTGCAGGTTGCCGGAGTTCAAGCCAATGGGGACACTCTGGGAATCGGCACAGATGACACACCAGAGGGGCAAGGGCGCTGGGGTATTTTTGCTCCAATTTCCCTCAGTCATTGCCTGAGGACGGTTCCCACAGGGTGTTAATTCCCCGGCACTCCTAGCTGACCCATGCAGACGCAGCGGCTTTCTGTGGTTCCAGAAAATAGCCCCTGGGACCAAGAGACATGCTGGAAGCCAACTAGAGCACCACAGAATGTCCAGGGGATCTGGCCAGGGCACAGAGTGTCTGCTGCAACACAGAGTGTTTTCATTATCATACCCAGCTAAACGGGATAAGAATTCACACGAGCTGTGTCAATGATCCTGAGGTCACAGAGAAGAGTGGCCACACCCAGTTGGGCTTGCTAAAGACGCAGCTCCCCAACTTTTAGTGACACTCTAGCCTTCCGAGAGAAGGGAGCCCCAAAGAAAGAGGCAAGCTTTTGTGCTGTGGGTCACCCCCAACTCACCTCCTTGGCCATAGGCATGAACTTAACATGACTTTGTGTTGGTTGTTATATATATGGTATAGATATTATGGATGGACCTAATATATGATTATATGTTATATATATGCCTATTATTATTATTATTATTATTAATAATCTTCTCACTGACAAGCTCTCTCCATCGAAGTGGAGAAAATGGCTGCCACAGGTCTCTGGTTTTATGAATCTCAAAGTCAGCCACCAGAGGGCGCCAGACGCTCTGGTTTTAAATCCCAGAAACCAGTTTTCCCTGAGGCCTGCTGGTGCCACAGTCTTGAACATTCAGAGAGGCCTGTTTTCTAGAAAGTTCGTGGAAATGGAATCAGACATTACATAGTCTTTCACATTTAGCTTCTTTTGCTCGGCATCATCGATCCAGGGTTCACACGTGTTGCGGTGTGTACCAATAGCTTATTCAGTTTTACTGCCGAACAGCGTTCACTGTGTGACATGCCACAGTTTCTCCATTCACGTGTCCATGGACACTTGAATCAGTTCCAGTTGGGGCTGTTATGAATAATGCTCTGAATGTAAAATTCATGCTCGGAACATTCACTCACAAGTCTTCATATGCAGGCCCTGTCTCCTCTTTGAACTGTGGTTATGCTATTCAGGGGACAGTCTTCCATCACTGATTGAGTGTGGCAGGGCTCCTGGATGTTTCCGCCCAAGATGTTTCCACAGGACATCTCTAAGGAGCCTCCGTGGCTGCAGACTTCCTCACGGGGTGGCCGGGACTTTGGCGGGTCTGCGCAGTCAGCTCCCCTCTCCTTTCCTGTCACAGGCTGGGTTTGAAAAGCAGACCCCAAGGCCAAGTTAGCCGTGCAGGAGGGTCAGTACCCTGAACACGTCTCTCTACTGACCCTCCTGCACGGCTAACTGGGCCTTGGGGTCTGCTTTTCAAACCCAGCCTGAGACACACAGGCACTCAGAAGAGTACCTGGCACGCGGTAAGCGCCAAAAGCACTGACTGTTATCATTGTGATTGCTACACAGAGGCATCTGTGTGGTGGTGCCTGCGTCGGGGCCCAGCCCACAAAAGCCCCTGCTGAAGGGACAGCAACTGTGCCAGGGCCTGCCCTGCCTGGGCACACCCATCCAGAGCTTTCCAGGCACCTCCCACGGCTCAGCCCTAAAGACGGTGGAGGGTCAGAAGCCCAAGCTGGCAAAAGAAAGAATTTCTCACCCTCTTTGTTCTGTCCTCGGCTCCCAGCCTGGAGCCATCTTCACTGGAGGAGGCAAGAATTTTTGTAACTCCAGAGTTCTGATGATGAAATAGGGCTGCATACTTTTATGATGGAACCACATTAGCTCTTGGGACACAAGGTGACTTTAGGGCCTTTTATTACCTAAGAGGATCTGAAGCATATGGCCTTGCCTGATGTTTGGTCCCAGAGTCATGGACCTCGGGCCTCACATCGACCTACAGGGACAGGAGAGAAAAGGAAAGACAGAAGGTCAGCTTGAGCCCCTGGAGACAAGAATGTAGCCCCCAGGAGCAGGCCCACCCTGAACACTTCAGGCCAAAAACCATGCGGAACAGATCAACTAGGCAGGGGCTGAGGGGGAGCCACCTGGCCCAGAGCAGGGTGGGGGTCAGAGCCCACTCAGATTGAGGGAGCATCCACATGCGGAGCAGGGGCCAGGCG